CCACAAGTTGGTTGAATATTAACTGCCAACATCTGCGCGTTCCCACAAAGTGGCGAATGATTCCATGGCTTCACCACAACAATGGTTCAACCAGCGCTCCGTGGCTTGTGCTCCCAACGTTTCCAGACATCTTTTAAACACCTCGCACACTTCACATAAACGAATAAAATGAGCACGTAGGGATTGTCGAATCATTACAGCATTTTAATGGATAATCTGAGTCAGGTAGAGATTGGACGGAGGAAGCCATGAGTTCGTTGGGGTTTGCAGCTACGGCAGGAGCGGAGGTAACCAGCACGGGGGGCGGTGAAATCGCGCCAAGACACTGAAGCGTTGTAGAACAGGTAGCGCTGCCATATCGCTACGATATCTGCCGTGCTCTCTTTCTTGCGGGTTTCCGTAATTTTCCCCACATAGGAAACTAACGATGAATAGAAGAGTGCACCGAAACTGCCTCCTAGAACATACACGATTCTACGGCCACCTACAGAAAGGACCATTTGTGCCGATGGCCCTTTACGGCGCGAGGCCTACTGAGGGACCACATTTACCACGCACTTACATAATTAACACTCCCTGATCATTATGTATATACTTACTCAGCTGCTCGCCTATCTCATAGCTACTACTACTACTACTACATATGGCAACAGCAACCAATGCCCGTAGTAAGAAACGGGCAAATTACTGTATCTGGCCTTGAGCAACTTCATCCACTGTTATACGTATGGACGTCGATTAAACTCACGCCCCGATTTCACAAGGTAAATTATTGTATGTATCTAATCTATTTCTATACTCCGCACACCAGATTAAAATTGGTATATTAACATGACCAACATACATGCAGCAAGCGCGCATCGTCCCGGCCATGCACCCACCAGGGCCGTGCCAAAGCATATGTATAGAACGACCCTCATCGTCGAAGCCATCAGCATCGTCCTAGTTAAAGCTGCTTCTTGATTTGCTAATCTGGCCCGAGTTCTGCTATCGGCTCTCGGGCTATCTGGCGAGCCTGGTTCTGTGAAAAACATGGCTGAGGTGCTAATTGATGACCTTATCGACACGAAGTATCATGTCGGCATCGCATGAAATGAGAGTTCCTACAAGATGATTAAATTTCTATTTGGTGACATCTCAGGCTTTATAGTTAATATACTATAGACACGAGTGGAAAATGCTCATTCGTGTATATGAGAGAGCTACTGAATATGTGAAACGGGAGAATTACGTAACATCAATTACTATGAAATGAAGCTAAACTGGAGGCGTTCGAAGGAGGAGCAACAACGTAGCGTGTCACGAAATCTGTCTAACAGTTATATATATATATACACACACACATGACAAACAAAAATACAAACACTATATTGTAGTACATCCTATATCAACTATATGTACCTAACAGTGTCACTGAATCAATATGATTATAACAGCCCGTTTTTGGCTGTACTAATACTAATGATTCCCTTCGTGAGCAATTCAAGAGCGTTTGGCTAGTACAAACGTTTCCTAGAATCCATGACCCACGCAGAAAGTTCCTCGTGTGCAAATGAACGGCTGCGTAAGACCGGCCTGTTGCTGGATTATGATATTGTTGTTGTTTTTGTCCAGCGTGTTAAGTAAGCTGCAAATCTTTACAGGGCAACACAGCGGGTGAAGGCGAACGCTTTGGAAGCACAGTGCCGCAAGTCTTTCCTTCGTCGATTTTTGCTGAAGGGAAAAAAGCACGCCAACGCTTCTCTATGTGTCTTCTGTTCATTGAACCGAAAGTTTACCTTCAACAAAACGTAACCTCATCTATCGTGTAGTCATTATTCTGCTAGCGAACACTTTTTCTCTCCATTTTCTGTATACGTATAGGTATATTACGAAGTCCCAAACAATTCTATAGTCCTCAATAACAAACCGACTTGCAGCGCGAACATCGTTCGTGAAGTATTCTAAAATACGTATGATGAAGAGGATCTCATGATCATCCATCGTGTTTTTTCGTATGCCCAAATTGTTTCGTGTACTGAAATGGCCATCGGCCCTTGATAACTAGCATCCCGGTACTTTTCACCACCGAGAACGGCCAATACTTTATGTGCCTCGAACTAACAGAAGATATATAGTTTTATTACAGATTGGTTTAATTAATTTCACTCTAAATAGGAACTGAGTAAGGAAGGTCAAAGAGCAACATTATGGTTAATCTGCTTCAGCCAAAGAGGCCAGTGTAGTCTTGAGATCCCTTAGAATTGAAAGGAAAAGCAAAAAGCTTGCAACGATACTTGAATGAAGGGATTCGGTGGAGGCATCAGTAGTAGTTAGAGCAACGTTGGCTTGAAACTGGAGCCCGTGATCCTGGGGTAAGAGAAATAACGGCGGCGGCAGTAGCCGCAGCAGCAGCTTGAGGCCATGTGGCAGTGCTCACGGCAATACAAAGCTGTAGGTAGATATATATCTACGTGTGTACGTTTCTATTAGAATATGTGCGCGTGAGGGGTGATATGCTGTGGTGTGTAATTCATCGACCTAAGCTAGAAGTCGAACATGGTCCCGCTGGGCCGTCAGTACCGATGCCACAGACGGGTTGTCTACGGCTCCCCTGGGCCTCAAGCAACATCGTATATTGGAGCCTTATAGTAGGCACGGACCCAAACTGCTACCCCTGAGTTGAAAGTATCCTTCTCAGGTTTTCGTTTTGCTGCTGCTGCTGCTGCTGCTGCCACGAGTCTCCCCCGCTGATCCTTAAAAGTTAATATTATACGTACGCCCTCATCACGATAACGTCGGAGGCCCCGAATCCAATGCTCGGAACTTGGCCGCAATCCTCTCAAGCTCCTTTTTTTAATTTACTAGGGCTTTCAGCTGATTGTTGTATACTATATGTATACAGTGTTAGTAACCTGAACACGTTTAAGGATAATAAGAAAATAAACTTAATTCTGTCATTGAATTGAGAGTCGACAATGCGTTGTTTAGTCACCTAAAAAAATACGCAAAGGTCAAAGGAAACATACTAGAGCTGGCTGTACCCTGAGATTTCTTGATCCATAAATACAAGCCCTGCTCTGTTCGGTGGCGTCATAAATGTATTATATATATAGATTATTACTGCTGATTTGGCTTTCTGATGGCGACGTTTAGATTCGATATCAGCATCCGGTGGGAGCGTTAGTTCATTTCCGAAAATGATTTCTGATCACGACCGAGAGCGTTACAAATAGCAGCACAAACGTCTGAACACTACAGTAACACTCACCAGCGTTCCGTCGTAGGGTGCGGGGCGACGGCGGGGTTTGAGAAATGGAGGATGAAAGCAGCTAAGGGAGCGGAAGAGTCGCTAAAAAGCATCGGCGTGAAGTACGAGTACAAAAACGACAAGCAGACGTACAGCCAAATGAGTAAAGTGCAACCGCGACTACTAGCGATCAAAATAAGGGACAGGCTCCAGGTAGGTGACGGTACCAGTGGTTATAACGATCGAAACGGCAAAGGGGATAAAACCTAAACTACGTGGAAAGGCGACCAAAAAAGCCTGATTCGTGTAATCCAACGCAGAATATTTAACCCTTAAGGCATGTCTCATCCACAGCTGGGCTCCCCCCGAGCTGTACAGCAGATTTCCTCGCAGCACAACATTGACTGCCCCTAAAACTATTAAAAAAAAAAAACTAACTTACGGGACATACAGATATACAAACTAAACACGATGCGATACAAGTAACTAAATACTGAGCGACCACTTAACGTAATGAACTAGCTCTGGATAGATATCAATGATGCGTAAAGGTCTACACAACGTTTTCGGTAGATTAGTCGTCCTTACCGCTGCGTCTTGGTCGCTCGTGATCAAACCTAAATTGCAAAATACTATGAACGCATCTATAAGTTCCAGTTTGTGAGCGCGCTGAAAGCGAAACTAAATCCGGATTTTTTCTGTCGTCCGACAGGATTCTAAGCTACAATGGAATTGATTCAATATCTCACATCCAGACTGTTATAGCCATTTTACATTACTTTCTATTTCCTAAACCCTAAGTTGTCTGCGATGTTGCTAACGGCACTAATCTAGTTCAACAAGACGAGACCAATGGAGATCAACCTCTTATGTTGCCTTGTCTAACGCATTGTGGTCAAACGAAGTTAAGGGTTACTATGCTATGTATCGGCGTCTTCGTTACGATTTCAAAAACTTCTTAAAGAAAGCACGGATCTGCCGTGCTTCATTCGGTCTCGGCAAGCATTACAAGAAAGCCGTTGCCTTGCCAGTCTCGCAGCGTTGTTAGCCACTGACAACATCCAATCGCCTAGAGAGCTCCAAAAACGCTGTACCTGATGGAAGTTGGTAGCATTATCAGCGCCAATGTTTGACCCCAAGGCAATAATTTGTAGTGTAAGCGAGCTCATGTAAAATTAAGGTGAGGTTTCTGATGACATAAATATCACCAGTTGATGACCAGAGCTATAATGCGTCACAGTAGTTAGCAATTTAATTATAAGTAGTAAATTAGAAGACGCATAAACAGTGAAATGGGTAAATTATTTATTCCCTGAACGGCGCTCATAAGCAAAAGTCAGTACCAAAAATAATGCGCCGAATGAGCAACGTTATCCACCCTTGTTTCTTAAGGAATTGGACCCCCCGGTGACGTACTTCGATCGAGGCCGGTAGCGTTCGTTCGATGTACCTGGCCAAGCAGAGTGAATATGGTTTGAAATTTTTGAAACAAGCTGTAAAGGAAAAGACAGTCACTTGAGTCAGTTGAGTAATGTCAGTAGAGCGAACAAAACCATGATTGGCAGCAATAGAGCAACTTTACAAAAGAATACGAAGCGCGCATAGAATGGCTCGCACCCCCGATACAGCTGTACGCGCCAACACAGATAGAAAAGGGGTTGTAAAAAGCAAGGAATGGCATTTGCGTGACCCGGAAATAACGATACACGACTGGGTCGCAATAACTGGCAGATCTTTGTTGCACGTCCTCGAATTTAGAACCTGATCATCATTATTCAGCCTTTCCCTTTTCACGGAAAGAGTCTTCCAATCCTCATCCTCGCTCGTTGGGCTGTAGAAGCCGCTGTATTCTACAAAATCGACACTTAAAGCTATAATGGAAATAAATCGAAGGTTCGATGAAAATGAGCGATACAGTCGAATCTAGCTACGGCTTTTTCAGCCGCTCTTTTCTTGTTCCGGCTTGCAACTGATCTAATTACGTCAAAACAACAAAGTGGAATACAAGCGAAAGCGCTAGCTCAACTAGCTCGATAAAATATGACTTCTGAAAGTTCTCTGGATTATGACAAAAACTTATCCCGATTCAAGTGTCTCATTCTGGGAGACTATGGGGTGGGTAAGACAGCTTTCTGCGAAACCCTGTGTGCTTCACAAGAGGCGCTGAGGGTCCGCGGAGCTATTCTACATCCTCTTGTCTTAGCGACGAGTGGAGGGCCGATTTCACTAATGCTGTGTGAACCGGCGGGCCAAGAAAAGTACGGAGAGCTTGAAGATGATTTTTTCCGTGGGGCTGACTGCGCCATACATATGTTCTCTGTTGAGTCACGCCGATCTTATGACCGCTTATATGGCGATAAGAAAAGACTAAGTGACCTGTGTGGAAATGTCCCGTCCGTGCTCGTTGCAAACTTCTGCGATGTGGCCAAGCCGAAAATAAGAAAAGTGATGATACAATTTCACTTGCACTACAATATACCGATGTTCGAAGTGTCGACTAAGGAAAACTTAGATTGCCACGTGCCACTGCTTTGGCTATGCAAGGTGCTTAGACACGATCCCTGCTTAACATTTACGGTTCCGCCGGCGGCTGCACCTCGTATACCAAATACCGAGGATATACCGCCACTTGAAGACGCAGATGCTTTGATGGTAGGCTTCACCCAGGATGAAGATTTTGACAGGGTGGTCTTCAAGCAAGAAGCTTTTGACAGGTTTCCCACTGGCCTCGCTAGAATCTCCTCAGGTACACTTATTAGCAATGAAATGGTTCGCACCTCGAAACTGAACGCGACGCGTCCATCACTGGCTCGTTGGTAATATATGGCTGTGGCCAACCGGTGAAACTTTACAAAAACCTCGGTAAAGTTCGATATGGACATACGAGTAGTGTTCTTCTTCTGAGGGTTCGTCCGGTCTATGAGTTCCAGTGCGTGTGGCCGACGTGAATTGGGTAAAGCTGGTATAAAAAGCGGTTTCTTATTCCAACGGGCCCATTTGGTCGCAGGACCCGCAAGCTACTCCTCAAGTGGTTCCAGTTTGGTCGCACGGCTACCACTACTGGTAGTAGTACTACAACACTCCTTCCATTCTCCCGATTTTAACTCCCAACTCTGGTCGCCCATTTCAGGGCTTCTTTCGAGCCGCGAGTCGCGTCTCGGATGCGTGACCAAGGACCGTAAAACTTTAATTTAACACTTGAGTCCAAGGGGTTTGAGATCGAGAGAATGAGAGCAATAGCAGTCGATCTATGTGCGGGTGAGCAACGAAGAGAATTCGCAAGGAAGAGTAACTCAAATCTTGAATCTTTTACCTTGTATTTTCTTTTTTGCTACCCATCGACAGGCAGAGTTACCAGTCTCTACCGCTAGTCTACGGATCTATAAGACCTGCTATTCCGAAATTTGATATTCCAAACACCGACGCTTGCCTACTCATACTCATTGCGTGGTGACCTCGGCTGCTTTTAGCTGTAACTTGGGTTTTATGACAATCTCTATATTATATACTTTGACCTGATTAAGGCCCCCTCCCCCAAAGGAATCCGTCTTTCTTCTCCTCAACTTAATAACAGAAGGTAATGCGGGACGATTCCCGTGCACTAATGAAATCGACACTTCCTATGCGCTAGCGAGAAGTAGAGGAAACGCACTGTCACTCAACGACAGTGGCCACAAACAAAGGAAAAGAGAAAGAAAGAAGAGGCCGCGACAACACCGAAGACGACAAAAACGGGTATATGTGCGGATAGTGTCATTGAGGAAAAAGGAGGCCGATAGCAGAGTGTACACAGGCATCGTCGTCGCCTCCGGTGACTTGGGTTGCCTTGGATGGGTATTTGATGGGGAGAGGCTGAGGCAAAGAAGAACTGGGACGCAACGTGTCGACGCCCGCTCAGCTTTTTCGCTTTAGTTCACTCATCATCATGGCTTCCCACCATTGGACCTGCTAGTCTGGACCGCATTAATTAGTAAAAAGTCCCGTAATAAATCATGGGCCGCTGCTATTACGGTTGCATCCGTTTCTAGTGCTACTACTACTACTGCTGATGCTGATGCTGCTTCTTTTATGTGCCTGCTCTGGCCGTGACGCCATACAGTGACGTTCAATTGCCGTCATTCGCTATGCCGGCATTTGTCGAGCCCAGACGACAGGCAGTACAGCAATCATAGTACGACTGTGTTTTCGAGTCTGTGGTCCTGCATGCCTGTCGTCAACTACGCTTTCACGGCGCACTCGACTGCATTGCAAACCCTGTTCACTTTACTGAGACAGGAAGGCGTAGTAAATGAATACACTCCGAAATGCATTTTAAACATAGATGGAGACTTAGCTACGAATTAAAAATCTTTCATTTCGAATCCTTTGCTATACAAGCGCAACTCGGATGAGGATCTCTCAAGAATGACATTGTCGACGCTGAAGTAGCAGCGATGCCCAGCCCCTTCTACCAACGCCTTTGTGTACGCTTGAAGTGCCTCACTCACCCTTCACCCCATTAATCCTAGCAGTATAACGCACCACTTCTGGCGGTTCGGTCTAAGAGCTAGCGTCGCTATCTTTAATGGGGCATTCCTCTCACGGAAGTCGGCTTTTCGCTCTATCGACGGAGAGCAACTCAAACCCTTTTATCGATGGCGCCTCAGAGGATGGGTGGCCTGATTTGGTAACGTTCTTTTTGTTATGCAATAGGTCCAGGCTTTCGTGCGCCCAATGGTGCAAAGAAACGCTGTGACGTTACAGTTTATGCCGCGATGTACACAGCCATTGGCCATGACATCGTTCGGAAATGTATGCGTATAAGCATGAGTATGCACTTATTGTGTGCAAAAAGCTTTGCCCGATTATGGAGAGCCGAGTGTAGTCAGCACCAATGATGATAATGATGACGACTAGGAGTAAACGAGGCAAATGGTTGTTTGTTAGAAGACAGCCTATTAATGCCTCCTACATCTCTCCTGCTACGAGAGAACGCCTTACATATGGCATGTACGTCGGATGACGAAGTGTGTCGTAGAGCTATTTGTTAGCAGCCTGATCCTCGATGGCGCCGATCGACTACAAGAAGGTGTCCGCCAATATGAAAAATGGTTGCGGACATCGAATACAAAGGATTTGCAACTAGCCGATGACAAACAAAGAGACGTATATAACGCTGGCCCTAGTAAGGGGCCTAATCGCTTCAGTCCTGCACACTAGATTATTGTAGGGGCATTGCAGGTTGGGAAGGCTGCAGCCCGAGTGTACACGAAACACACGAAGGATGTTTCCTTTGATGAAAGCGTATATCTTACCTAGCCACGCAATGCCTTTGATGCTAAATGACTGAGAAATGACTTGTAAGAAACCAAATACTGCCATCAGTCAGCAATTTCTTCTACTTTAGCATAACTTGTCAGTAGAACAATAGAATACAGGTTAACATGGCTGGTCAGTTCAGCTTGCCACGTGCCCTGTAATAATTGCTTAGCTCAGGTAGCACCCGTGATTTGCTCTTTTCGGTTCAGGCCTTACTCTATAGACTGTACACCTTCTATCGGTTTCTGCTTTCCTACTACCTAACATTTCACACAGAACAGCCTTTGTGAGCAATCCACGCTAAATTAGCTCCGGTAATGATTGTTTAGATTGCTCTTCGTACCAACTAACATTCTATTTCTAGATAGCTAACGTGATTGGCTTTTTCTCTCACCGGACAGAAAATATCTCAGTGAATCAATGGTAAATTTTTCACGTTACTACAACGATGTTCACTTGGAATCAAAAATCGGTCGGATCAATTACATTCGACTATATTGAGAATTTTTATCTAAAAATTTATGTAAAAAAAAAAAAAAATGTTGAATTCAACTAGTTGCCACACCCTTTGTTTGTTTCGCTAAAAAAATGCAAACCGATTAAAGAGAATAAAAGACTCCACGTTTTGTACCGTTGATTTTACTATGAAGGTCACATGAGTTCACAGCCAAGTCGGACATACTGGGTAGCTTTAAAACGTTAATACGGGAGCGAACTCGGACACCCCAGCGAAAAGTTGGAAACATAAGGTGTAAGCAAGGGTGCTGAAGCCGACTGCAGACTATCGTTCTATGGTTAGGCCGTGTCTGCTATTGACAGGTATTCATCGTAAGAAGCTAACACTTACCAGTTCAGTCAGTCAGTAACCCTAATATGATGCAAATGAGAAGTGCTTCCATAGATAGCAGATAAGTAAAAGCGCGCAGCGGGCTTGCTCAATATGGGAGCGAAAACAATCTATTGGGGCACAGTTCTGTGTGGCTATAATACCCCACTTCCGCCTGTGTCAATACAATACTGCAAAGTAAGCCAAATCGTTTGAAGAGGCATCAGATACACCCTAGAAATCCAATCAGAAGCTCAGACAAGCTTAAGACAACCACATAGAAGAAACTCCGTTTAGGCTCAACTTGGGTTAATTTCTGTACACAGTGCAATTTCACTATAATAGAGTCCTACTCTGGTCCCACCTATCTAGTCATGTCCGCAAATGCTTACTTGTTCTTGTCAACTTGCTCGAGAAGCTCTACGAAGTGGCCTAGTAATCCAGTATCGGTTTTACCGATTTGCCATTGCACACCTGCTCGTGCACAGCGACAAAGCCTGCTGTATAATAAATAACAAGACCTTGATTATAAAACGGACAGTGATGTACGGGAAACCCGAAAAGAAATAACTTGTTCCTCTAACTTTCGCACGTTTTCTTTTAGGAACAGTCGGAAGAGAGTGGATTACTCTCGACAGACCCTCTCGGTTCTGTTTGTGTTTTAGGAGCTTAATTACCTTGCCTGGCCTTCCATAAACTTTGGTCATCGTAACGGCGGCGGTAGGACGTCGTCCACACCGAAAACTACCAAGCCACCTCCAACGGGAATCGTCCGATGCGCCTTTCAGGTTCACCTGGGTAAAGGAGGAGCCTGGCTGCCCCGCACACACAGCTATTCCAACGCGAGGGACGTGCGTAAACTACTCGTGTTTCAGCGGGAGCACCAGCGGCGTTGGCGCAGAATCCCGCTACAGCAAAAGTGGTTGTGAGGGCTGGAGGGTGACGTAAACGGCGGCCGACCGTATTGCGAACACCAAATAACGCATGGTATTACCCTATGCAGCAGTAACTAATACACGCACTTCAGCTTGGACAAGTGACACAAAACAAGCTGCTTTTTATCGGACAACAAAAAAAAGCGCGACTGCAGTTCTCCCAGCGAGCGGACCCTACGACCCCTCGAAGTCCATGAAGCGCCTTCCCAGGTCGAAGATGTCGTTGGTATGGTTAAATTCAGACCCAATAAATTAGCATATTCTGAGCCTACAGATACCGGCAATAAGGGTGAAGTTGAAGGAAAAGGCCTTATGGCAAATTCGAGAGAATAGAATATAATAAAAATGATCAAGTATTAGTAAAAAAAAAACGAAGCTACCCATACGTGTTCTCCAGAAACGATGCCGCCAATATGTTCTTTATGGCGTGACCTTGATGTGTCGGCTGTTTCATGCAGTGGAGTCACGTATAGGGCTGGTAATAGGGTTGGTTAGAGAGGACACGTGAACTACACTCAACTGCCGTATCGGAAACGACCAGAAATGATACCATTTCCCAAGTGGACAACTACGGATGACAGCACCGTCGGCAAATAGCAGAAAATTATAGGTTCTAACCTCGACACTTACTTCTAACATATCGTCAAAAACGACATTTAATGCAGGATCTATCTCTTTAAATTCAGTGTTTCAATTCATGCGTACCCTCTGTTCCCCAAGTTGATTGCACATGTTCAGGTCCATTTTAATGGACCCGCTGGAAATGAATTTTACATTAACGAACTTGCATGACATATTTACGATTACACATAGACAGGTTTAGTGATTAACTAAAACTTCTCAATTTAAGTGTTTAACTTAGACCACAATAGCTTGGTCATACATCCGGGCGAAATAGAGTAGTGCTCATTAAGTACATTCGCTCATAATTAGAGAATAGAACATATCACTCCGATACCCTTACTCCATTTAAGAACCAGCTCGTACGGAGTTACCAAGATCAGATTTTAGGTTGGATGTCTTCGATTGCCCCCATTGAGATGTTCTCTGTGACATCAATACTGAAATCACGTACAAAGGCAGACGACGGTAAGGAGACACAGCCTATCGATATGGGTTCGCTGGTATCCCATTGCTAGACCTTTTCCAAGACCAGCCGTAGTTTGCCATGCGTTAATCTTTGAACGTATGTACGCGTGTCGAAGCGATATGAGGAGCGGTGTAAGAGAGCGGCCGATCCTGCAACACGTCGTTATACTGTATCGCAAGAAATGTACAAGAACCAACTAATGTCGGTCACAGGTGTCAGCTACTTGGCTGAATAACACGCCGCTACAAAACCGCGAAAGTTCAAAAATGTGCTTGGCCATTCCGTTGAATATATCGACAAAGGATAGCCTTCCCGGCTTCCTTCGTCGACGCAATATATATTTTTTCCTAAAAATCTCTACCTATAGCATTCTTGAAGCTTAATGCACATATAAATCGACACCCATATGCCCCCACTGTGGTTTAACATCCTGTTGAGTAATAAATATTGTACAGTTGTCAAAACTAGAGTGCGTTAGTCTTATTTGATTATCGAACAAAAACTTCTGCTGATGACATGCGTGATCCACTAGTGCTTTGATAGGGTTGGAATGTTTATCTTGAGCAATACTTGTACAGGGTAGGAAAAGTACGCAGCTATTGGGCATGCGTTAACGCACATAGCACCACCCATACATAGTTCAAAGGGATGCCCCAATAGAAGGTCCGGGTTGATATTGAACGGCGAATGGCGAGCCATAGTATTAGTTCAATGGAAGTCAGGACAGCCTCTGCCGCTTACGTGAAGGCTTCGAAGATAAGGCACAAGAAAATGTTCCCACATAAAAATCCACTACTAGTCGTATTATTAGATAATGCTTGTGCAGTGCTGCTACTAGTGCGGCAGCTGCCGGCTGAACCGGAGTCTGCCGCCGGCCGTCCGTTTGCTGCCGCCGCCTTCGCTCGACCGACATCGAAAGGAATGTAGCAAAACAAAAATAACATTTACGAACTACAGCGAGAGGACGTGAGAGTGATGGAAAAGGGTGGTGGGAAACTGAGAGAGACGGAAAGTGAAAGCTATACAAGCAGCGGGGTGCAACGGATCAGAGAGACGCCGGAATAGAGAGGACAAGCATGGGGTGAGAAAGGGAGCACCGCGCGAAAAAGGAAAGGAAGGAAGGCGATGATAAAGCGTACGCGGAAATGGAGATATAAACGGCAGACGATTTACGTCAATATTGCGGCAGCAGCACATGGCAAGAGGGCTAGCACCACAACAAATCGCAGGATCAACTCTAAGAGAAATGGAAAAAGACAAAAGGCGGAATCCAAACGGTTGCTGCAGGGAGCACCGCCCGGATGACATAACTTTGGGTGAGGTAAGTTGAGGGGCAGATGGATTACACTAACTTCGGTGTCGTCACCCGATCTGTCTGCTCCGTCGTCGCAGCCTTTGCTTCTGTTCTCACCACCGCTAAGTAGCGCGATTTTAAGCAGAAGCTGCTCCATGGCAGTGCGCGAAGACATAGTTATTTTGCTTCGCTTCTCTCGCTCGTTCGAGGTAGCAGCAATGAAATTTTTTAATCGGCATCGTAATGATGATGATGATGGTGGTGACTTAAGTGAAAGGGGCTGTCTTCCCGCCGCCTCTGTTACTGCCACTCTCGGGAGCTGAACATTCGCGTTCCTTCATTACTGGGCGGCTCTGTTTGAACGACTCAACTGTATGTGCCCTTTCACCCATCCCCGCTTTGTTTTACCGAACGAAGTTGCATTATTACGTACTTCAGTGACATCATGAGGCGGAATAACTAGAGTCAATAAGCAAGTTCAGATAGGTTTAAGCTCGGAAGCACATGCACACACGTTTACCTGGGGCGAATACACATATACACGCTCGAGCGCGTAGTAAAACTTAAAGAAAGAGAAGACAAAATAGTAAGAAAATGAACGGACCACTTCTAATATTATTATATCTAGAAAGTTATCCCCCGTAACGTTCTCATTCTTCCGTAACGATAAAGAACATATCAATAGGCAGCAAGAAGAAGGCCAAGCTTTGAGGAGTGGATTGTCAACATCACAGGCGTAGGATTTCGTGCTCCCGTTTGTAGAAGGCAACCATTCCTTCACTATGGGAGAAGCGACAACAACAAAATGAAATGGCCTATCATCAGCTACGCGACGTGCGGCTTTGCGACCACCTTCAGTAACAGTGCCGAAGCCGTGGATAGGCGCAATTGATACGGAGGAACCCCAATAGAAATACAGAAAGGAGGAAGCTAATATCTGTACATACGTATAATATGGTGATAACGACTCCCCTCAGAAAAGCAAAAACCAGTCCGTTCATCGTACCCTCAATCAAGGGATATGTAGGTCAATGTTGCTATTTATGAATTCGAATGCGATGCTCCTAAGAAGGGGTAGCAAATTTGCGACACCCTGTGGCTGTAGTGATTATGGGCACTTAGCCACGGAACGAAAAAAGTCCCATTACGCAAATGATCCCGTCATTCTACAGATCTACCGCATCTTCCAATCGATCAAGAAGCGAATCTACTTCGCAATAATGGTAATTAGAAAAATTCTTGTAGTATTTCCTCTACAGAACTTACTATGGTTTCAATTAAAATGTGAAAATAGAAAAAATAGAATTCAAAGCTGTGAGCCAGCCGATAAAAAGCTAAATATGCTATTGAAAAAAACAGTAGAGACCATTAAGTCAACCAGCCTTTGTGCATGCAAGGTAGACCTTAAGAACCTTTAGAAGCGCTTTAATACTAGCTCTTTCACTGAATAGAAGATTACAATGTAGATGAAGATCTGTTAGTCCAGGTCAAATCATCACTCACTCACTCACTCACTCACCTTTTCCAAAGCTCTTCGGGTGTATTTGCTTTGCCTGGAAACACACAAGAGGAGCCCAAGTCAAGGCAAGCATATAAAGGCATTAAACTGATAACTGCCCTTCTACTCTGTTGTTAAAATAATTTTATCATTATCTGTATACATTAAAGCATACTATTCTCGTCCTCTTAGATTTTTTAATGCGCTATATATGTATAAAAATGATTTTGAATATTGCAGAATACGAAACCACTGACTGCCATTTAGAAGAGGTGGCTTCCTGGCCAAGTGTAGACTACCTTTGAGGATGAATCGCTCATATTTAAATAATAACTTCGAACCACTGCTAGTTTATCTTCCTAATATACTTCGTCGTTAGCCAGCTTGAGTCAACCATCCTGAGTCTCATCCTGAGTGAAAACTTGGCCTTCCAACCGCATCGAGCTAAGTCAATATTCAATACCTTGAAGTGTGCCAGGTAAAATTCAAAAACGTTCTTTTCTTACATATCCTTTCCTATATATACATATATTAATAGCTCCTTCTAACAGCCAATACCCGAGAAACGCAACATTTTAAAGATATAATGATCGAAATATCGAGGCGAGTAACTATGCAGAGGCTTTAAGTAACTATATGTATTTCCATGGTGATACTGCAGCAACGTCTTCGGTTAGTAAGCTTAAAGACACTTAAAATAAATGGCTTAATTTCGAAATTGGATGTACGCTTTTCGTTTCGTCCTGAAAGCCAGCAGCAATGGTATCAAACGTAGCACTCGAAAATATTCTCGCCTTACTTATATAGGTAGCTACCACGAGTATGGTAACTATAATGTTTATGTAACGTCAATCTTTGAAGGTATACGTACAGGCCGGAACAGTGACGATATATCGAAAATTATTCAACTGAGTTTAAAAGGTGCTGTTACAAGTAAGTGCCTTTTTATTATTAAAAGAAAATACAGTTATCTAGTTAAATAATGGCGCGTCGCCACGGACACAGTTCTGACTTTCCCCCCACTCTAATACACTTTTAAATGCGCCCCTTCTTCCCCATTAACAGAAAATATACACTAAATTCGCTCGACATTGATGTGGCGCTATTCCTTTCCATCGCTTGGCGCACAGCTAATAGAAAGGCACCGCGGTGTATTCGATCTGAGCCCACACACACACCTTCTCATCAAAGCGTACCTATGTACATATTGCCGCCGTCGCAACTAACTTGGGGGAGAGCGCGGTATGCTGTACGCATGCCGTTTCCAGAAAATAGCTATTGTCCCTTCCGTGCTTTGAGGTGAACTTTATAAATTATCCTTCGTCCATTTTATCTGCGTCGGTTCTTCTGACAGCAGCCACTTGAGTAGGAGAAGCATCGACTACTACCACAACGACTATTTCCTTCGCCACCAAGTGTTTCGACCACCTGCATTTCTTTCCGTTTTCTTGCCCGTCTACCTGCTACACCCCCCGGCGTTACTGGTGTTGTTGTTACTGGAACACGATGCAATACGGTTCTTAGCATCATTCCCTCGAGCCTATAGGGGAAGGCAGCCGAGCGCGCGCCACCGCGTCAACCTTCTCATATGCTAACAGAAGTGCGTGGTCACCGCCGGCTGCAAGGACCGTGGCGAGAACAGCAGCAATGGCTATTACTTCCATAAGCATCGCCTGATGCAGAGGCCAGTTCTTTTTGCTTCCACCCGCCTTCACTGCCCTAACACGCCACGGCGTCTTCTTAGAACAGACAGCAGCGGGCAAGCTGCAAGCCAGCGGCAGCAGTAGCAGCCTCTGCAGTTCACCAGTTGTCCTCTTCCACTCATACTAAGTTCGGTTCCTATTTCCTGTCGTCCTGTTGTTCCTTTCATCAGCTGTTGCGCTTCGTTTTTCTTTGCACCCTGGGTTGCTTGCTTTCTTGCCAACCAGTGAGCCATCTTGGCCGGCTGGCTTTTTTGCTCTGTCGTATTCCCAGTGTTTATAACCCAGCCCGCGATTTGTCTAGCCACAGAAGCTGCCTGCTATTGCAGAGATTCGCTCTTACAACACAGAATGCCTGAGCACTGCTATAGATATATGTACGCGTAGATGGGCGCACAAGAATACAATGCGTAATTCCCGTGTCTTCAACAAAGAATACAAGACCCAGAGAGACTGGCGAGACTACTCCTTTTGAGTCGATCCACAGGTGTGCCTGTACAATTGCTTTTATACGTCGACGTGTGAGTCCATGTCTGTGTGTGCCTGTGGACCGTCGACGTTTCCAGCATTAGCTTTTTGTAGGTACACGAACAAGGATTGCGCCTATTACTGCCATGTACTGGCTGTCTTTGCGGCCTGCTCATGTTGAACAGAATCAGAAGTACGTGGCTATAGCACATTCCTCTGTATCCCTCGTCGCCTCTAGTTGTTTGCCAGTACGAATATACGCACTCGCATTTAGTCGATTCATTGCCTGATGATCTTAGCAGCAGCAGCTCGCTCAGATCCAGCACGGTTCACTAGACAATTAGTACCACAGTACTTCGAAAAAACAACCACACTAACTGCTTCCTTCCCCCATGCCGATTAAAAAAAGTCGGTTAATAGTATTTTGGATTTATCCCTGGCCATAAAGATCGTCACTTTAACGCCAACGTGACTGTTTCACGCAGTCAGCATAACCTATTATAGGTTGCCGCGTCTGATTGTTAAACATGGATACACACGGCATGGTGCATTGGATAACCCAATTTCCGACTGAAGGGGCCAGGCATGGCGTGTTCGATAGATACCTTCTACGGAATATACATGATCAAGACATCATCAGGGGCTTTATGTCGTACGTAAACAGTTTCGCATAAATTTATTACCCGAAAGACGAAGAGTCCCGCATCAATGGTAACGGGAACCCAAGCACTGAAATAAAATCACGAAGAATTTTACAGTTCCCATATAATGTTGCCTCAATATTGACAACTACTGCTTAGGATCGTTGCCTAATTTTGTATGCGGGACTGCGAAGCGACATAGCTAGCATCTTATATTGTAAGAAAACTGCATGTAAAGATTATAGCGTAGATGAAATTGTACCGGCAAACCGCTGTATATTAAAGCTCCGTCCATCGCTTATTGCGTTAGCAAAGATGTTAGCAGCCCAACAGGCAACAGCTTCTCACGAGTCATTACTAGTACTATTATAGAGGGATTCACCAGAAAACAAAGACCCAACACCGAGTTGAGTAAAAGATTCTTGATCGAAAAATGATCGAAGGCAAGCTGGTGACCCTCTCCTCATCGAAACAACTATTATAGATCAAGAAACAGGAAGCACGTCGTATCCATTAGAGCGTTGTTTGGTGAAGTGTGTCTCGAGAGGCCGGGCTCCATTGGCGGGTTAGGGCATATACTGTATTTCACATCGAAGGAGATGAACGTTCGGTATGGCTTCATCGGGAGCCAAAACAAATACCCTCCACCGAAGCGTAAAATCAAAGAAATTGAAGAACTGCTGTTGTAGCTTCTGCTACCGAATCGTTTTTCTTCTCTCTCAGACCCACCATCTCCAACATCAGCATTATCATCAACCTCGCGTCGTCGGCAACTGTACCCCAGCCAAGACCTCAGTCGTAGCATAGAGAAACGTCAAAACGCACTCGCCGCTCCTGCTACCGTTCACAGGTTTGCAAAGGTTTTTGGGCAGGGGTTGGCGACCAGTCGAATAGGTGATGAGTAAGTGATGAATGGGGGTAGAGCAGGAATCTGCGACTGAAGCGCCAGTCCTGGAACAGCCTCTGCTGATGCTACTGCCGCTGAATTTACTACGGAATGCTTCGGCGATTTAAAGCGCAGTAAGTGAGAAGCAATTTGCAACCTTCAAAAATCGGCCACCTGCTATGACGTTGTCGGTTTGGTCGAAGGCTGTAAACAGACTTCGCTTGACGCAGACCAACTCTCTAGGGCTTTGCACTCACCATTGACGTTGACGACAACCTGAATAGCAAACCGATTCTTTGGTGCTTGGACACTGCGCCACCGCTGCGAGCGGTAACAGCAACATCAATAGTAACAGGCGCCATAACGTCAGTCGCGGAAGCAGGTGCAACGTAGAAGCAGAAGGTACGTTCTGCGGATTTGTGATATCGTTTTCTCGTCCTCTTTGCAGGTAACAACGCGTTGCTCTTCTACTCGGGAAAGTTGGGTGTCGATTCGCGAAGGGCAAAACACAGAACCGCAGAAGCCAGTCGAGTTGACGACCACGCAAGGCACACGATCGGCGAGCGACCCACCATAACAACAAAAGGCACTTTCAACCCACTCATACGACATAGAGGCCCAACGCTACCTATTATCACCACAACTAGTGCAATGGTAACAGCAGCCATCGTTCTTGCGGTAACATAGAATGGGCATTGAAACAATATCGCGGACTAACGCTCACGTCCGGGACAGGTAGAAAAAGCAGGAACATATCGAACAAGTTTTCCATTTATATTGAACTTCAGAGATGCCGAAAGCGAGGGATCAGTAGAGCGTTCAGTGAATCTCCATGATAAAACGACTGCTACTTAGGCCCACTAATGCGTGATACAAAACTAGGGAGCACGTAGCATCGGACGCCTAATTTGGAGTGGTTCTTTAACTTAAGCTGCGTGTTTGTACCTTAGCAGTCCTGTACAGCCTAAGTTTACGAATTTGTCACCCTATTTTGGTAAAGCAGCGCCGAGATCGGTGATTAATTAAAAAAAAGTTGTTAATTACTTCCAAGTGTATTTCAGACCTGTTATGCACTGGGCCTTGCCATTTTTTATAACCTGCAGAACTCTATGTTTGTAGGTAAGCTTTCTATTACCAATCGTTTTGACTCATCGGAAAATTAGGCACGACGAAAAACAAATCAGTCTAGAGATTTCTATTACGTTTTGCTGTATGTTTTCGTATGCTACTTGTTAGATAGTTGAAATTATTTAAGGACATTCATCCCTTGTTTGAAACTGATGTTTTTATCTAATTGATGAGGTCCAGGTAGGGCAAATGCTAGCAACAGGAACCTATTAGATCGCACACTGAGTCGAGC